GGGCAATATGCTGACTCTGTAAACCGCTTAGAGAGGCCTGAAAGGCCTATGAAGCGGTATATAAGTCTACTGTTATTGCTATATTATTGCTATATAAAAAAGGTTAAACAGCTGTAAAAAGAACCTTGACCTTAGGTAGGCCCTTCAGTAACCTGACAGCTGAATAAAACTATAACGGTGAGTAAAATGATACTATACGGATACTATAGCTGGGTTTTCAATGATAATAAGAATACACAAGTATATCCTTACATATGTATACAATTGACTGCATGACAGAAGATGCCTTTTGATGAAACCTTGGTACTTATCTGAAAATATTTTTGGTAAACAAAAAGGATAGGACTTCTACCATGTCCTTTGCCAACATTTTTCAACACATTTTTCCTTAAATATATATAAAAAATGTTGATATTTCCTCCCTTTTGTACTTCATAGTTTGCTCACTGTTTTGTAACATACAAAGCACAATCATGCACAACAGAGAATGCCTTATGCCCTTCACTTTTATTTAAATATGCAGAATCTGACTATATAACTAAGTCTTGATACGTCTGCTCTTAAGATACTACTGAGAGTGCTCTTGCACTGTAAGTCATTTTTAAATATAGATTTGCTGATAATTCTACACTCATACATGCCAAAAGAACTCTCCACACTGAACAACTTAAAATTGTTCCCTTGTGATCATTGCTAAGGGCTTTCCCAAGAATGTAGAGGCAATATTTCCAGTAGAAGGGTCATATATTATTAACACAGACCTTAAAAAGCTATTTTAACAACATTGTTTTGAGAATCATTTACAAAAATAGGAATCATATTAGAACAAAATGTTCTTTGTAGAAAATTACGGCTCATTTTATCCTGTTCTTTTTGCCACCTAACCCTAAAAACCGCTTCAAATCCTTCTGGAGTGTTTTTTTGAAGCAATTTTAGACAGAGGACAATGAACTATTTTACATAATGCATGATTATCAGTTCCTCAGAATAAGATTATTTTTAACAAAATTATTAATGAAGCTGTATTTAAGATTCAAGGAAATATTAAATAATATTAAATTATAACTTGTATTCACAATTGTACATACTTTTATGAACTAAAGATATTGGGATAAGATGATTTCTTCATATGAAAGCTACAGGCCAACAAAAACCTAGAAACAGGGTCAGTTTTCACTCTGCTGAACAATCGATTTATCTATATAGTATGACTGTAACATTATTATTTATCCTTATTGTCCTTTTCACTCCCTCTTCTTATTGGTATTTTTATGATTATCATTATGATTACTCTCTTGCATTGCATGTACACTGAACTGTAGACAAATTCCTTCTGTATCTTGGCCAAATAGACAGTAATGGTCAAAATGCTAGAAACGTGAATTGATATTATTGATATTATTACAGACCATCACCCAATAAAATTAAAGGTTTGTACTCCTAAGAATAGTACATTTATCATGATTTAAGAGCTTGATTCATATAATAAAATACAATGCTTACATTAATATAAAACAGTACACGCATTCAAATAATGCATAATATTTCACTAACCATCTGGTTCATACAACAAGCTAAAATGCAACCTCAACCTTTTTCTACTGAACCAACGTCAATATGAGGACATGATTTACAGATAAGTAAAGCTTATTCCTTTAAATAAGCCTTAACTGCACATGATTAATACACAGAATTACTATACGAATGTACACGCTTTGCTTTTGAAAAGCTTGAACAGCTTAGATCTAAAACAATTTGTTTCCTCACCTCCGGAATGTGGTGGAGGTCCACAAAGCAACACCATTCCCTGTCCTTGTCGGACTGAAACTGTACTCCTCGTCCTGGTTTTGAAATTTTCAAGATCTGTTAGGAAGAGACAAATATATGATTACATGTTATTACAATCAGTTTCAAAATAAGAAATGCAGAATGTTGTTTACACTGAATTACACCTGTGCACAATGTGGGACTATATCATCTTTCCAGAAAGGTGTCCTCTAATCCAGAGTCCCGTCTCTTATCATTTTGGAAGGAGTAATCTTTGTTTTATTTCAATTGGCTTCTGTGGTAAACAGTTATGTGTTCTGCCTCATTTGATCCCCAAGTTTAAAGTATTTTGTAAACATATATTTTGATGAGGTCTTAAAGATATCATGTTTCATTCCTTTAGGAAATCCAGAATTGCAATATTAGAAATGGTTCAGTATTTTTTAATTTTTACATTATTTTCTAGACCACAGTACGCTGCACAAAATTAATTTCAGATATCCTCTTCTTATTGGGCTTGATTTGTAATAACAGATCTTTTTTTTTAAATTGTTGAATATTTACAACAGGTAAAGCATCTTTTCTTCCAGTGGTTCTACATCTACTGGCTTTGGTTGCTCAACCAGCTATTCTGAATCCTGTCAATAGATGATCTGGAACTCCAAAAGCTAGCATGACCCTTGTTGACCTGGGTGATTATTAATGAGGTATGGGTTTCTGTGAATTATCATCTCACCATATTATTTCTGAGAGAGATATTCTTCGTCCATACCAAAAATCTTGGACAGTACTTAGAAAGTCTGTGCATTGTCAAAATTTCCATCTGTCAATTTAAAAAGCCACAGTGCTTGGATATGCACATATATTATGCTTACATATTATGAAATCCTAGGTTCTTGGGAAGAACTTGATGAATATGAAAGCCAACACCAGCTAGAGAATTGACAGCTGTGATGTCATAGTTTATAGTTTATAGTTTTATTGATTTGCATGCCGCCCACTCCCGAAGGACTCTGGGCGGCTTACAATAAAACAAGGGAGGGGAATAATACACAAACAACATTAAAATATACAACAGTCACAATCTCCAGGGGGCTGAATATTACGAGAGCCCCCCGGCCTGCTGGAGCAGCCAGGACTTAACAGCTTTGCGGAAGGCCGGGAGGGTAGTAAGGGTCCGGATCTTCACGGGGAGATTGTTCCAGAGGGACGATCTCCCCGTCAATGTCATATTTATGTGGCTATAAAAACAGGTGGATAAGAATTCCAAATTCTGTCTAAACATCTGATTATCTGGCCGACCAATCATAATAACAATAATACCTGTCTATCCCAGGTCCTTGGGAAGGTCTCAATAGATGGATAAAAATGCCAAATCCAATATAACCATCTGGCTGACTATGAGACCAACCATAATAATACATACCACCAGCACTGACAAAATCACCATCAGTTGCAAAAGGCAGCTTTAGTTGGAACAGTTTACATCCTGCAACAATACTTTTAACATCCATAAGCAACAATATCTGCATATCCCTGGTATTTGGGAAGGGCTTGATAGATAGAAATGCAAAATCCAGTCTAAACATCTGGGTGATTATGCAGCCAACAACAATAATACATATTTTCTCAATATTGTGCAAAATTGCATTATAGTTCTTGTCTAATTGCATAGTGATGGTCTGGATATTGCTATTCAGAAGTTTTATGAATGCTCAATTCAAATTTACACTATTTTATTAATTTGGGGATGTTTAAGAGTGGGATTATTATTTATTCTTGGGCACCAGGGTGTTATGTATGATGGTTTTTCTGTATTTTAATCTTTGTAAGCTACACAGAGTCCATCAATAGAAATTGCCAAACTGACAGTTATTATCATTGAATTGGTTTCTGAGTTGGGTTATGAACCAATTCAGATTTGATACACACCTTGACGTCTCCATGGTCATGTGGCTGCATGACTAAATGGCAAAGGTGCACAGAACAATGCTGGACTTTTCAACTTCCTTTGCCACCAGAATATCCCCAAGCATCAAAAACTTAATACCTTAGATACCTTAGAAACCCAACAAAGCTCTGTTCAAGTTTCTCATTAAATATAATAATAGTAAATAGCAATTGAATCTACTTAGGTGTTACTAGCTATTTCAGCCACTAATGTCCAATGTTGAATGTTTCTGTTATTTGTCTATCACTTGAAAGTGGAACTCATAGAAACTTATCTTTCAGTGATGGCTAATGGACTTATAGAAATGGTGTATACAGCAGAACCCTTAAAAGCCTGAAAATGAACAATAACATCAAGTTAACTGCGTATAGAATAAAAGGTTGAAATTTGAGTTCCCTTGTGCTTTATCATCACAAAATGGCCCCCAAAATTCACAGCCACAACAAAAAAGTTATCTGTTCATACTTTTGATTCATTGGAAGTTTAATGAGTTGATGCAGCTAGAATCCATGTTATACTACGTGTATTCCCACCTTTAATGACATGCAAGATGGTAAATTTGATATTTATCAACAACTCCCCCTCCCCAATATTAGGTATTTGAAGATATGTTTTCTCCTTTACATTGAACTTTAAACTTATGGTTATTAATTGCTAAGATTATAACTGGTGCACCATCCCATAGCACACCAGATCAATAACTTGAGCTGCCAAGGAAATTCAAAGTAAGAGCTTCTGCAACTCAGACAACTATCATATACAATCACTTGCTTTTACATTTACAGTTTAAAAAACAAAACAAAACACCAGAGCATCCAAGCCATTGTTTGCTGATCTCAAAATTGTTGTTTAGCCTAGCAGAACACCCAGAAACTACACAAGAGATAAATATACTGAACAGCTGGAAAGCAATTTTATAGTTACAAAAGTGAAAAATTATAGTTTGGTTTTCATCCCTTTCTATTTTTTCTTATTAAAAAGGAAGTAATACAGTTGCCCTCATAATAACATCAAAAACCCACACCATCACACCATGTACTTTCCCCCTCTGAACTAGAACAATTTGTTTTTTGTTTTTTTTAGAATTCACAATGGTACTTTGCTTATAATTAATCACACTCATGGATATTAATGTGATCTGAAAATAGGGTCTCTAAGTTATGCTAAGATGAAGGCTGCAGTTGCATCTTGTTTTCTTTTGCAGAAAGAAGGTGGGTGGATGTACAAAATGATTAATCTTTTACCTGCCAACTGCTCAATAAAAATATCTCCAACTCCCAAGCTTCAGTGTTTCTCTGAGGCAATCTCCTATTCATTTAAAGATTTGTATAAGGAAAGAGGGTGTTCCCCCCCATCTGACAACATCCCAGAAGAGGGTAGGTAGGTAGAATTGACCTACCTTTAGTTCTACTGACTCCTTTCGCTTCCTTATAAAAGAACATATAATAAAATATTTTGGATATTTAATACTTATTTATTTATTATTTATTTATTAACCACATTTATATGCTGCCCAATCCCGAAGGACTCCGGGCAGCTTACAAAAATAAAGAGAAAAACCCCCACATAACGAAACACATAACAAAAGAAACGGTTTGTGGCTTTATTTATACTTTTAATTTGCTATTTTTCTAATTTGGTTCTTAGAAAGCAGCATTTGAAGCAAACGTGGTCCATTTTTCTACATGTTTATGGTTCTATTATCTAGTCATAACTATTAGGATATCATGCGATACAGAAGAAAATTTGATCCTCTTTTCCTGTAGTTGGCCTGATAGATCTATCTATCTATCTATCTATCTATCTATCTATCTATCTATCTATCTATCTATCTATCTATCTATCTATCTATCTATCTATCTATC